GTGGTCCTCTCCTGGGCAGGTGGCTTTCTCCTCATCCTCCCGTCCACGGTCCTGAAGGCAGGCCTGCCCTACTGCGGCCCCAACGTCATCGACCACTTCTTCTGTGACAGCGGCCCCCTCCTGCACTTGGCCTGTGCCGACGTCCGCGCCATCGAGCTCCTGGACTTCCTCAGCTCCCTGGTCCTGCTGCTCAGCTCCCTCTCGCTCATGGTGGTCTCCTACATCTACATCGTCTCCACCATCCTGAAGATCTTCTGGGGCCAAGGTCGCTGCAAGGCCTTTGCCACCTGCGCCTCGCACTTCACCGTGGTCTCCATGGGCTTCGGGATCTCCATCTTCGTGTACGTGCGACCCTCCCAGAAGAGCAGCCTGCACCTCAACAAGACCCTCTTCATCCTCTCCAGCTCCTCACTCCCCTGCAGAACCCCTTCATCTTCAGCCTTCGGAATGAAACCATGAAAGACGCACTGAAGGACGCCTTGGCCAGGGGACAGAACTTGCTCAAGGAAATGAGGTCCAAGTAAGAGTTTTGTTATTTGTTTATTTAATTTTCTCAATCTTGAGTCTCTTTTACCTACTAATAATGATTTCAGAAAAGTCCCATGCTATTTACAAGTGAATAAATGGTCTAAGTTATGAAAATATCTCCCATTTTGATACAACCATGTTTGTTCCATATGCAATTTAGATTTGTAAAGTTATGTTACATTAATAAACATTTTTATCATAGGAGGTTAGAGAAAGTGATGGGAGTAAGAATGTTTGAAGTAATAACAACTCATTGAGTTAAAAGTATCATTGAATATATTACTTATTTGGAAACATACATATAAATTCATCTCAGAGATATGTAGAAAGGAACATTTTCAGAGCACCTCACTAACAATGCACACAAACACCTAGTCAAGAATTCTGCCCTGGAACATAATCTGAGAAGTTTTATTATGGGTTCGAAAACTATCTTCTTTCTGACAACACAGAGATCGTCAATGTTGATTTATTCTTCATTTTAGTACAGTTTTACTTATGATATTTGCTATTTAGTTTGAAGGCTGTTTAATGAAGTACTTAAAATATTTCTGTAGATGAGACTAGCAGATGACATAATGGTTACATCACTGGACTTGCACATAGTCCACCGCAGTTAGAGTCTTGGACCTGGTGGCTTAAAACTCACGCTGGACACTTGTGTGTGCGTGACCAAAATCCCAAGAGGAGAATGGAGGAGAAGAGATTGCAGCTTGGTCATCCCCCCTTGGGGATGATTCCTTACTTTCTGTCTCTCTGTCTCTCCAGTGAGCACACATGCCCTATATCAAAAATCTATTTAAAAATTACTATAGACTGATTTGTGTCCTGTCTTCAACAGTTTCTTCAAGTATCAGTATTTTATAGTGTAGCTACTCAAGAGTATTATCTAACTGGAAAAGAGACATTTACAAGGAAGATGCAGAATTTCAGATTGTGTAACTATATACAACAGAACTCCACACTTCCTAAAGCAAAAGGTGCTTAAACTATAATATAAACACATCAATGTATATGCATAGAGATTTTAACATCTTTTCTCAGTAACTGATAATTACTAAATAATTGTCAGTAAAGTAAGAGTAAGGACA